GAAAAAAATCATGGCCCCACTGACTTGAACATCACATGTGAGTACTATGCCTCGTACAAAGGGAAAATATCTGCATCCAGAGCCAGGACGTGCCGGTCCATGTCTGGGTTTAGCCACATCCTTGCATAGGACCATGGGCAAATCCTTGCATAGGACCGTGGGCAAGTCAGCTTCAGTGACCCTCAGGCTCATCATCTTTCTGATGCTGACCCTTCCCATCTGTAGAATGGGAATAGCAAATACCTCCAAGCCACGCACAGAAAACTGTATGTATAAGTGCCTTTGGGACCATAAAGTGCTCCTTAGATGGAAGGTGTTCACATGGCCATCTTCACATTTCTCACCTCTGCCCCTATCAGGAGATGCTCGGTGAGTTTGAACTGTCATTCAGCCGTATCATTCAGCAGCAATGGCTAAGACTGGCCTCAGAGGGCTGGGCTTGGACACTCCAGTCATCTGCTTGCCAAGCACAGGTAGGAAAGGGTTAACCAGGAGAGGGTGAGCTCACGCTGCCACCAGAGGGGCCAGGTGAGTCCAGGGCTGCAGCCTCCTGCCACAGCAGGCCCTAGAATGATGAACAGGTCAGGGTTCTTCCCCCTTCCTCTAACAACCACAAACTCTTTGAGGGCTCTGTCTGCGGAGATCCACCTGCAGGAAGCTAAAAGAGAGCCATCTGCCGACGCCCAGGGATTCTTGCTACAAAGACAACCCTGGAGGAAGCTGGAATGTTTTCTTTTGAGCTGCGGCATCACGCGGGCCACGCAGAAGAGTTCCCCCTTTCCTTTGCCTTCCAGGTTGGCAAAGGGAACATGGCAACGGGATTCAAGAGAGAAGACGAGGGCAGGGACTGCTTTCCTCTTCCCCTCGGGCTGCTAGCTCGGGGATCAGGGACATGTCTGAATTCGGCCAGAGGGTCAGTCCCACGGCTTCAGGGTCCTGCCCTCTCTAGCTCACCCTTTCCTGAAACACTGCCCCCACCCCAGCCCAGGCCACCTGACCACCTAGCCAGACCGCCCCAAAGGTGGAGGCTGGAGGCTGCGACCTTTGGCGAGGTGAGCAGGCTGGAAATATCAGACTTGCACAGTGGCCATGTAACTGGGTTCTGAGTCAGTCTCCCATCAACAGCAAAGCTGGGTGTCAGCCTGGAGGAGCCAAGTGGCCCAAAGCCAACCTAGGGCAGAGGCAGCCACCCTGTCTGAATATCCTGAAAGTCTTCATAGCTGGAAGGGTAATGCTAACAGCTACACGTTGATGAGCAACACCTTCCTTGTATCACCTGACACATGGACCTGAAAAAACCCCACTCTACTTGCAAGTCCCTGGGGTGGTCAAAATGACTGGCCTCTTCTTCGATGGAAACTGAGAGGGAGAGTGGACCCTGAAAGGAGCTGATGGGATCCTTTAATGCACTGGAAATAAGCCAAAAACCAGGCAGTCACTGGGTGTCTTTGAGCTGGACTGGTAGGAGGCAGGGGGTGGACCAGCAGATCTCTCGGGCCCACCACCACCTGCCTCTGGAAGGGTCGTCACTGAACAAATGCCTTGCCGGCTGCGGTAACTGCTCCTGGGACCACCGCACCACAGTCAGGGGACCACTGGGCACAAACCCACACTGAGCCCAAACTCCAGTCATGTTGGGTGTTTGGCTTTGAGTAGGGAAAACAGCCACACAAGGGACTAAATTACAGATTTCTGATCTGTTTTCTCACCCCGTCACGAGAAAAGACAACTTTGCACCTGAGCCTGCCCAGGTAGAAAACTTGATTCTGGGTTTAAAACATAACCAAAGTTATTTGAAACCACTTACATTGGGTTAAAAAAAATTGGCGAATGTTAAGTGATACCTTGAATGAGTTAACAGATGATGAATTAGAAAAACGATGACAAGAAGTGTAATGTTTTGACTGAGTTTTGAAAACAGGAGAGTGGGTTTGTTATTCAAATGTTGAACTCTCTTTTTTAATTCGGTCAAAGCATTTTACAAGTTGCCTTGTAACTGTTTAATCTCCTAGAAGGGCAGAATTGTGCACAGTTGAGTTGTCCTGCCTGCCAGTCTGTGTTTGGGCTGCTTCTGACCTCAGACATCCCCTCTTCTGAGCAAATTTGGTTCTTGGACCTTCTGTGCGGGATGCTGTGAGTGGTTCCAGCCACCGGCCGAGCCCCAAGCCAAAAGGGCAGTTACAGCAGGAACAGGGTGCAGGCTTGGGGATCCTTGGGGCTTCCTCTGAGGTCTAGTCTCCTGGTCTGTCTTGCCTGCCTATCAGTCCTTATTCTCAAAGTGTGATCCGTGAGCCAGATCTTTAGGATCAGAATCTTCTTTTCAATGAGAGACCCTGGGATCTGTATGCACATTGGAGCTCACCCGAGCCCCTCTGCAGGGAGGTCACCTCTCCAACCTCATCTGCCTCTCTGCCCAGCGCTCTCTACTCCCAGTGGAAAAGGCTGAGGTCAAGCTCTGACTTTGCTGCTTCCGAGTCATATCATTCCAGGCAGCTCATCTGACTTCTGTGCGCCTTGGTTTACTCATCTGTAAGATGGAGACAATAACTGCATTCGCACAGGTCTATTGTAAGAATCACGGAGATAATGGAGTGAGGGCTGGGATTCCCTCATTCAATCTCATTTCTCCCTCTGTCCCCACCCCCACGCACTCTGTTGACCACTGACATCTTTGCGAATTTGCATTTTTAGGAATCATGCAGCAGAGTCGAGTCAAATGCACTACGTAGTATGGTGGCTAAGAAGAGCACATACGATCCAACCAGATGGGCCACTGTCCACATTTCTACTCTCTCACTTATTGCTACATTCCTCCCTGAGCCTCAGTTTCCTCTTCAGTAAAATGGGGGTAACAGGAAGGTGATGTGACAATCAAAAGAGGTAAGTAATGCAAGTGATGCGTCCAGTACACAGTGACAAATCTCAGGCTTATTATCATTACTTTTATTAACCTCCCCTGGTTGCACAGAGAAGTAGAGGGAGGGTGGGAATATCATGCAAATATAAAGCATCAGTAATAATAATGCTATTCCCTGTACTTATTTAAGAAAGGCTTTGGCAGCCAACTTATTCCTGACACTTACTGCTTCTCTCTCCACCTATGGAGTATTCCTCTATCCATTGCCCATGGTTGCCCTTGACCTGGCTCACCTTCCTTCTCTCAGCCAGCATACTCTGGCCAGGCACGTGTTCTGCTTGGTTGCGATGGCTTGGCAAAAAAAGTGAGCGTGTCTGTAGGTCTGTGCCAATGGTTCACCAACTACTTGTACTTTTGAGGAACCTGGGAACTTTAAAACCCACGAATGCCTGGTACTCACTCCCTAAATGTTCATCTGATTGGTCTGGGGTATGGTCTAGGATTCGGGAGGTTTCCAGGTTTCCGTGGCGATTCTAAGGTGCAGCCTGAGTTGAGAGGCACCTCTGTCATACAGGATGGGGACAAGCACTAGTGAACTCCCTACCAGTTCACAGGAAATTCCTTCTCGGATCTGCACCCCAAAGGGAGGCCGATGGGGAATGCTCACTTAGAAAGTAAAAGCCTCTGCTCCCAGAAGCAATAAAATCCCAAGTGAACCCTAAACCAACAAATTGAATCCTTGATTAATGGAAATATTATTTGTTCCTCTTTATGAAAACAAATGAAAGCAGTTCAGCTTCAGGAATTTAAAGGGCAGCTTCCAGAGTCTGCCCTGACCACCTCACGTGCCTCCCTCCTCCCCTCTTACACTCCCCTGAGCACCCAGGGGTGATGGAGCATCTGTGACACGTGGAGAATCCACAGGTGCCATGTCTTTTATGCAAACCAACTTACACCCCGCTTACTAAAGACAGACACAGTGGAAAGGTGCGTTTTAAGATGCAGTCTCAACATCAGGATGTCCAATTAATCAGATGCCTGGGTCCCTGAACACCCCCAGCCTCAATTATTTATTTCAACTCATGGGGAATTTCAGGCCCCAGTGAGGAGGTATTTTTTAGTGTGCAGAACGAACCAAACAGGCTCTGCCTACCCAGCTGACTCAGAAGTTACTAGTGACTGTGGAGTCAGCTGGCCCTTGGTGACTGGCTCAGCTGTGGTTAGAGGGGCCTGCCCGGGCAGAAGTGACCTGGGCCGCAGGTGATGGGTGGAAGGCAGGCGTTGAGAGCATGGGGAGAGTTAGCTTCATGCCTGGCTCTGCTGAGAGGCCGAGGCCTGGGATCAGAGCTTCTCCCTGGGCAAAGGGCACACAGCCTGCATGCCGCCCCCCCTCACGTGAGATGCCACTGACGGGAGCCTACTGTGCCCGTGGGCAGAAAAAGTTCAAACGGATGGCCCCAGCTCCCAAAGCCATGCCTCTTGCTTACACTCATTTCACCTGGATGCGCTCCCCGCCCTGACTTCTGGGCAGATTCCTACTCAGCCTCTGGGGCCCGGCCCGAAGCTTCCACCCCAGGCCTGGTCAGCCACGCTGCCCTCCGTGCGGCTCCCTGCACACCGCTCGGTTCCGACAGACCACTGCTGGGCTGAGCCTGAGCTACTTACAGCAGTGCCCCCACAGCTCGTGCCCTGACGCTCTGCCCGGAGCTCACCCCACTGTCCAGCACAGCACACTCTGCTTGCTGGATGGACGGTCGCTGGAGCCAGGCGGCAGCTTGGCTGGATGGCAGGGCTTCAGAGAGAAGGAGGGGCTGTCATACTCCAGGAGCCCTCCGAGCCGTGCAGGGACCAGAGGGTGAGACCCTGACGTTGCGAGTGGCACTGGGGAAGGTTGGGGACAACTTCATGGGCTCAGGTTCTTATAGGCAACACTTGCTTCCTAAGTACCTGAGATTAGGGGCTTATTGCTGCATGGATGTCATGGAACCACATAGCAATAAAGTCTACCCCTGATGTAATAGGAAGATGATAGATGTGCAATTGGGAGAGGGAGAGATGGGGACAGAAACAGAGAGAGACACACACACACAGAGACAAACAGAGAATGGCATTTCTGGGGATCCTTGGAGGGGCAGCCACTTACCAGTTCCTTCCTGAGCCAGGCTATCGCTTCGTCGATGTTCTCAAAGCCTTCCAGCTTGCCAGTGGGCTGGGTCGCCTCATCCTGGCTGGCACCTTCACTAGGCGGAGGATGCTGCCTGGTCTCTCTCGGCGGGGAGGGCTCTTCCTCCCCACACTGCCCCTGCTCAGCCGCTGGCCTCGGGAAGGGCCATGCTTGCTCCTCCAGCCTTGCCTGCCATTCCAGGTAGGAGGGCCTGCGGGTCTCCAGCCTCAGTTTCTCAGTCAGGGCCTTCAGGCTCCTCAGGTGGTCGTCAGGAGGTGGGGTGGCTCCTGCCAGCCCATCTTCCCCCACCACTGCTTCTTCCACTTGGATCTGGGGCACAGACATTCTAGAGCCTGCTGGGGCAGTCAGACATGGGAGGTGGCGGAGTGATGAGGGAGTCCTGGCGGGTGGTAAGGTTGGAGCCGCTCTGGAATGGTCTCACCCAGCTGGGGCCAAGGCTCCCGAGGGCATTGCTGGGATCTGAGCAGCTCCCAGGGCCGAGGGACCAGGGCCGAGGCGCAGAGTGCCCACCGGAGCAGCTGCAGAGCTTTGGGTTTAAGCTTCTTTCTGGAGTCCTGTGGGCGCCATGCTTCACACAAGGCAGGAACAGACAAGCGTTAGCAGGAATCTTTGGGGCAGCTTTGCCAAGAAGATCTATGAGTCCTGGAGATGCAGGCAGATCAGAGATGGGCGGGGACGCAGCTCCCTCCTCAAGGGGAAGGGCAGGTGGTGAGAAGCTGCTGGCCACCACAGGCCCTGCAGGAAGGATGCAAACAATGTCAGTGAAGGATGTGAACAAGGCCTGCATGCTCCTGAGCTCCCGGGAGAGCACACTGAGGCTCAGAGAGGTTCAGTGACTAGCCTGCTAACTGTTACTTAAGGACTAGAAGTGAGGTGATTGCAATGCCTTAACTTGGTGCAGAGAAGTTAATAATAAATCAATACATTGTACAGTGTTTCACGATTTATGAAATGATTCCACCTCTATTATCTTATAATCCTCACTGCAAGTCTATAATTACCTGCTTTTGGCCCCATTTTACATGTAAGATACCTGAGTTTCTGAGATGTTAAGTGACTCACCAGCGAGTTCCCAGCAATTAGCCGGAACAAGACCAGGTGGTTTGATTCTGAGGACTCAGGTCTCTCTGAGTGACCACTGCCTGAGGGCCCCATGCAGAAGCAGGTGTCCCGCTGGGTCCAGGAACCAGTGACCCCACCCCTCCCCGCCCACCACAGCACCTGTCTTTGGGCACCAGCTCTCCAAGGCCTGTCTTGCAGCACACCCTCAGCTTCTTCCTCCAAGAACAACACCTTACCTCACCTCTTCAGAGGAGGAAGCAACTAAACCTGCAGCTGAGGAAGGAAAAGCCAATGTATTCAAGGTTGATTGGTAAACCAAGTGACTCACCATTCCAGAAAGATGGTTATCACATTCATGCCCACACAGCAATGCCTCCTGGGCAAGGGCTCCTGCTCGCTCCCCTGATTTGGCCAAGGAGAAGGTTGAGCCAAGGTGCTTGCCCCGTAATGTCAGGGCACAGAGTAGAGAGTAACTTGGAGTTAAAATTTTGCCCTGGCCCCCCAGCCTCCTTGTCCCTGCACCCACAGGGTACATCAGAGCAGGAACGTTTGACTTGGACGATAGAGAGAAGTCCTTGGCTTTCAGGGTGTTTTAAAAATCCATGCTGAGAGCAAGCTGTGAAAAAGAGTAAAGTGATGTGGAACAGTGTCCAAGATAAAGCTTACGTGAAAAAATGAGACGTTCGCAGACTGGAGAGGATGCCACCCTTGGGGTGGAAAAGGAGGGGGAGGCAGAGTGATTTTTGTCGACTTGTGTGTGCCTAAAAAGGTCTCTGCAGGGAGAAAAACTGGAACCCAGAGTTGTGATTGCTTGTCTGGGGTGACGGGGACTGGGCGTCAGGTGATGGTGGGCAGGAATAGGAGGCGGCAGAATTGGGGACTGGGGGGCAAAACCAAAACTCAGGCTGGGCCACCCAGGGAGGATGTGCAGTTTCTCTCCGACTGGGGCATGGAGATGCTCAATAAGAGCAGAGCTTGCTGTCTGCCCCAGGCGTTGCTGCAGTTCCCACCTGCAGTGCAATCTGGCCAGGGCAAGGCTCGCTGCCTTTCCCCCTGCTCTGATGCCCCTGCTTTGAAGCATCGCTGAGGAATGAGGAGTATTCCACCCCAAGTGATAGCACAGAAACCTCCGCCTCACCTCCAGCCATGCAGGTAGGAATTCCCTGAGGAATTTCCACAACCTTGGATTGCCAGGCCGCACTCCTGGGAGCTGAAATTCAGTTAATCTAGGGAGGGCACTCCGGCACTCCGGGGTCAGCGCATTTTTAAAACTCTCCACGGGGTCTGAGTGAGCTTGGGGTTGAGAACCACTGGGCTTGAGATAGAAACACTACATGTGAAATCAGATTGTGTTAGCTGTAGGTGCTGTCAGGCTAGCTGAGCCTCAGTTTCCTCACCTGTAAAACGGGGCCATAGTACCAACCTCCTAGGTTTGGGGCATTGGCAGAACTACGGTTGGATGGCGCACTCAGTGGGCTTAGCATGCTCTGCGAAGGGGTGTTCTCATGAGCGTCTTTCTTTGCAGTCTCACGGATACACAGGCGTCTTTGGAATCTCTCCTAATCTGAAGACTTATTAGCCGCTTTGTGGGGCCCCTCCCAGGCGCCGGCTCCCTTTGTCGAGGTGCCAGAATTTGTTTTGAGTTTGCCTTAGGACGTTTACCCTATAGGGCTTCTTCCCACTGACAAGGGAGCTCTGGTTATTTCCAGCGAAGCTTTTTGGAGAGGATCTAATTGCAGACAACTGTGAGCAGATGAAGCTGATGGGAAGGCTCACAGGCCCTATCTCCCCGCTGCACACCCACCAAGGAGGGCAGGGTCATCTACAGCCAGAGGGAGAGCCTGTTAGGGAAGGGCCTTCCCTTTGGGGTGGGCGACAGTTATGCCTGGATGACTTTAGGGGGCTGCCTCCTTGGGAAGGGGGGTTAGTTTAATTGGTGGTCTCTACGTCAAGTCGGAGAAGGCCTGAGAAGACAGGGTCAGGGCGACTTGGAGGCACCAGGGGGCTGTGAGTCAGCTAACAATGACCCTTCAATCCACTGAGTTTTAGGGAGTGTGTGAAAGCAACCCTGTGCCATCATGCTCCTCCCAGGAGCCCTGAGCAGCAGGAGGGATCACCCCATTTCACAGATGAGAAAATCAAGGCCAGGAGGGGTGAAAGCCCCGCCCATGGCCACAGGCAGGTGGCAGCAACGGGAATTAAGCACAGAACCCTCAGACTCTGGTCAACCTTTCTACTCCAGAGGGTGTAGGCCTTTGGGTCAGACCCCAGGGCACCCAGTTCTCTCATTGTGGACATGTCACATCATGACCACTCCATTTCTGCGTCCTCTTCTGAGAAGTGGGGTCACCAGGACCGGCTATATAACTTGCCCGGCGTGGTGCAAAATGAGAATGCAAGGCTCCTTGTTAAAGTGAACTAAGAATTTTAAGATGGCAACAGCAGACTGTTAATCCAGGTGCAGGGCCCGTGGGGCTGCCTGGGTCCCTCGCTCATGAAGCGGACCGTGGGGTGACCCCGTGGGCTTCATAGGGCATTGTGAGGGTAAAGTAGCTAATAGCCAGCCCTTAATGTGGTGCATGGTATAGTTTTTAAAAGTATACCTTTAAAGTCACACTTTAAAAAGTATTATTCTTAACCTATATAATTTTATTAACCAATGTCACCCCAATAAATTTAATTTTTAAAGTATTATTCTGAGGACGATAAGACCTATCCGGGTGCATCAGTCATGTCACCAGATGCCCCCTCGGGCTGCGCTGAGCAGTCGTCCTGTTGGTCCCTGACCTGCTGGGTGGCCTGAGCTCATCTCTGCCCCTTCCATCCTTCCTTGAAAGCCAACGGAAATAGAGTCGGGGGAACCCACCTCCCCCCAGATTTTCAGGACTCAATTGCATTTTCATCATGCCTCACTAGAAGGTCTGCCATAGGAAAGAGAAAAAAAGCAAAGCTTAGAAAATCACCCCAATAAACCCCACTCCCTTCTCTCCCTGCTCATGTTTTATTTTTTTTATTTTTTTTTTCTTTATTGATTTTAGAGAGAGAGGAAGGGAGAGGGAGAGAGAAATAGAAACATCCATGAGAGAGAACATTGATTGGCCGCCTCCTGCATGCCCCCCACTGGGGATCAGGCCCACAACCTGGGCATGTGCCTTGACCGGGAATGGAACTGGCGACCTCTTAGTGCACAGGTCGATGCTCAACCACTGAGCCACACCGGCCGAGCTCTACTCACGTTTTAAACAGCCCTGCTGATGGTTCGGGCCCTGGGTGACCCAGGTTTGACTGTTAGCCACAAGGCGAGAGCAAGGGCCGGGGCCGAATGCCTTGGTTCTGGCTCCAGATCTGCTACCAATGAGCCGAGAACCTGGAACCAGGCCTCTGCTCTTGGCCTCAGTTTCCTCATCTGTGCACTGGTGGCCCCGCCCCCAACCCATCTGCCTCAAACGGAGGCTGTGAGAGTCAGCTGGACTCGTGTGTGAAAGCGCTCCGCAAACTGTAAGGAGCGGTACCCACCTGAGGATCATTGTCATCGTCCAGGCATGTGTGATGGAGTCAGGGACCCACCACTTTAGGAGGTGTGGTCCATACAGCCTTCAGGGACCGGGTCCTAGACTGCCTCCTCTTGCCCCCAGCACTCCCAGGTGACCAGCATTTACTGAAACAGCCTCTGCCCTCCTGGTCACTGAACAGTGTTCCAGGGAACACTGCCTCTCTGGATGTCCCAGTGCCTAAGAGCCCCATGGAGCCTCTTCCCTCCCCTCCAGCTAGAATGTCACCCATGCAGGCCAGTCCAGGTATGACTGAGTTGGACCCAGTCTGAGCTGGTGGAGAGGTGCCAGCCGGTGCAGGCTACAGCGGCAAGCACTGGGCAGCTCCCTGAGCTGAGGGCAGTAGGGGCTTTCCCTTCATCTGGACAAAGCAGAAACTTCCAGGGTGCAGGCTCGGGGAGGAGGAGCCCTCTAAAACCTGGGCAGGCAAGCTTTCTTTACATCCAACCTAAGTCCTTCCTACTCCGGGGGGCCCACTTTCTCTCACTCTGAGCAAAGACGGAGAGTCCGAGGAGGAAAGCCAGACCTGGGACCTGGGACAACCAGTAAAACAAGGTCAGACTATAATCCCACCAGGGCCAGGTGAGCCCACTAGGCAGTTCTCCACCCCACCCCACCCCCACCCAACCCCCCGCAAGGGACCAGCCCCGCGGAATATTGGCCTTTTTGCAGCAGGGTCTTGACTTTCTGTGCCTGGCTCACTCTGGACTATGGACCACAGAGGCTGCGGGAGGGAAGGGGGCCGTGCCAACCATGAGCTAATTTCTCTGGCTGCTGGAGGAGTCATGTGGGTGCAGCTCAGCCATTCAGCCAACACCTCACCACAGGATGATCTAATATGTTCACTTGGACAACTTCCAAACCCACTTCCTAGATGGGCTCTGAGGTCAGGGAATGGTGCAGGGGCTGCTGACCCATATCCGTCTCTCTCTGTCTCTGTCTCTCTTTCTCTCTCAAAGGCCTGGCATCACTCACTCGCTCAGTTCCTCTCGCCCTACGTTCTCCTGAGAAACTTTCAAAAGCCACCCTCCCTCTGGTTCTACAGGCTTGTGCCTGCTCCTTCCAGACTTAGGTTCTTCACTGGGAGCATTTCGTTTCTTCTCCATAACAAACCATCTGTCC